GTTGGTTGAATATTTTTAATGTACAGCACAATTACATAATAACTGCATGCATTTTCAACAGTATTTGCCCCAAACACAAATGAAAACCTTGTGAACGAGGCAAGTCAATGTCCTGCTAAGCTTGCAACTTTGCTGCTCGACTAGACTTGTTACAAACTTTGCCACTTAATCAAACAGCAAGTCTTGTTACCAATATGTTAAACACCTAATGTATAGACAAAACTGTTGCTAAGTAGAATCACTTTAAAAACAAATTTTGTTGTCTATTCAGAATGAATTACTATGCATTGTACTTTGTATGATCTCTATTTCACACAATAAGCCTTTTGCCTTACTGCATGAAAATGGCTTGCTGCATGACAGTAACTATTTGAGGAAATTACATTGCATGCTATAAACTTACTGGCCACATTTAAAACAGTTGGGTGCATCAATCAGCTAGTTGTGCCTAGACAACTAATTAAGTATGAATAAACAGGCCATGAAATGTCGGTTATTGTCATAATTTAGTGGGTTGCATATATAGGCAAATTTTGTTTACAAATTAATTTTAATTTGCACCATAAATATGTAAATGACATTTTAAAAATTTTCATAACCAAAAACCATATTTCAGCAAGAAATTGCTTTCAAAATTTGTTAACCTGACTAACTGGCTGGTAAAAATTTGCAAACAAAATTTCCCGCTTACATATAGTATAGTATGACATTAGATTTTGCCACAATCGCAGAGGTCTCGGGCAGTCTCGGCTGTGCGGCCTGTGCTGACTGATCCCACTCACTCCAATACAACAAAATGGGGTCTAGCTGGTATGCATTAATCCAAGCAGCTCACAAATCTTCAAATGCGTCTTTGTCCACACTTTCGCCACAACTTTGCCTGGTTTTCTTCAAAAATCCGTCTATTATTTTGTCCTGTATGAATTCTTTTCACTGATGTTTTTCCGCCATTTTGAATGAATGTGGCGCGGTACTTTATGTAAGCGACAGGTTTTGGATACTTTTACTGGAATAACCGCTGGACTTTGCATATCGCATATTGGCGCTTTTGCATGCATTTTTGACAGGCGTGGTCAATGTCCAGACAACAATGACACTGGGTTGTTCTAGAAATCTTATTACAGTCAGCCTGACTTAACAACATTCTGCGTTTGTTTTTAAACTATAAACATCTAGAAAATGAACACTACTATAAACTCATCGTCTTGGCCGGCTTGGCACATAACAAACAAATAAACTATAAAGTACATTTTGACTCCTTGTATAAATAAGGCATTACTGACGAATAGATCGGGTGGGTTATAATTAAAACTGCCCGTAAATTCATGAAATCATATTGTTTCAATACCTCAGAGCTCTTAAGTACATCTTGTCTCTTTGTATTACAGTAGGACATTATGAAATGTTCTAAACGAGCATGTGGACAATGGGATATTTCGGGCTGTATGAAGCGCCGATAAATAAAAGCACATTGCTTGCCTCTAGAATAAACATCAAACAGGTCATCGCCTTGATGGATATTACCACAAAGAAATAAAGCCATACTAACCTGGTTTCTCCGGAAAGTATTCGTATATTTTGCATTTTCAGATCCAGAGTAAAAAGCTTGCAAATTATGTGCACGCAATTCGATATCTTTCTCGCACTCCCCCCGTCCGTCCCCCCCCCGGAATTACGACATCTGGACAGACACAAGATCTCGATCTCGCCAATACATAGATCGGCGCGAAAGACTGGGTCGAGTGAGCGAGAAACCTTCATGTCAAGATTAGGAGTGCTGCCTTCGGCAGCAATTACGAAAAATATATGTCCAAAGGGGCCGAAGTTATGTCGGCGAAATGTATCACTAGTTTACATTGTTCGTAATTATATAATGAAATATATGATACCATACCTTCCTTTTTAAAATTCGCATCGTACTATTATTGTATTAAGCAAATGTCGAGAACCAGGGATTATTCTAAGGAAATTTTGTCACTGCACAAAAGTGCGAAAAATAATCAAATTTACACAGGGTGCATGTATCAAAAAAAGTAAGACAATTTTGAAATTGCTCTCAATTTCACAATTCTGTTCATGAAATGTAATTTTTTATATGTATGGATTGCTTGAGTTCTTAAATTATGGAAAATATAAAAAAATTTGAAAATAGTAAATTTTGCTAT